TGGGTGGAGCCGTAGAAGTCCCGCCTGGGCTTCGGTTGAGGGTAGGAAAGGCGTGAGGCCCTGGGTGTCGGAGGGGGAGTTGCACCATGGTTTCATTTCCTGAAGAAGTGATGGACGCTCAGTTTCCGAAAGCCGTGACGCCCACACCCCTAGCGTGGACAGTTTGTACTAAAGTTTCCTGTAGTGGTGAGCTGAACGATGCCTGCTGAATTTTGAGTCCCCAGATCCTTTGGTGGGATGACAATAGATAAAATTGAACATTACATCTAATCCAGGTGAATTATTGAGTCCCCCGAGCCGGCGTGGTGGCGCATATCTGTATTCCCAGCACTCCGGGTGGTTGAGGCAGGAGGAACACAGGTTGGAGCCCAGGATACCGATTTACTAAGACTCTTCAAAAAATGACTGGGGTGGAGCTTAGTGCTAAGGCCCTTGGTTCAACCCCCAGAACTTTCCACTTGAATTCACTTTAAATAAAAACTGAGGGCCAGGGATGTAGCTCAGTGGCTCTGCGCCGGCCTGTCAAGGGCAAGGTCCCCAGTTAGATCCCTGGTATGGAAAAAGAAACAGCCGAGCATGCACACCCGTCATTGGGGTAGCTGAGGCTGGAGGATAGCTGGTGAGTTCCAGTCCAGCCTGGGCTATGTAGCAAGACCCTGTTTCAAACAAACCAATCAGTCTTATATACCATATTGAAGATTAGACAATCATGTATTTGAGATAAGAAAATCAGGCCAAAGGGCAGCAGAGAGATGAATTTGAGCATAATGAGGGAGGTATCTGTCATCTGTCAGAAGACTTTAAGAAGGCAGTGGGAGGAAACAGGAATCTAGAGTATAGATAACTTCTGAGCTAAGCATTGCAATTGTGTGAAAAGGTGGTGTTGCTTTAAGAGTGACGGTATTCAGTGTGTAATTCTGTCCCTTCCCAACTCTGAGCCATTACAGGCACTCATAATTTTATGTCTGACATCACATCAAACTAAGTATTTTTCTAAGCTTGGAATACCACCAGAGATATATAGAAAGATATACTGTCCCTGGCAGTATCATTGAGTGGCTCTATATCTGCAGGTACCAGATCAGACTCTTTAAAAGGATGTTTCCATTCCTTACAGCTTTATCTCAGCAATTCTCAATATTAGACCTATTTTTTAACAAAACAGAACCGTTTGCATTTCTCCAAGGCAACCTGCATGTTCATTCACACTGCCAGTAATCCTTCTCTGAAATGCTTTGTGCATTTATTTTCATCAGTTATAGTAACACCCACTAATTAATGTACTTCTTACTAGGCATATGGTAACTCTGATTCTCACAATAATAATTCTGTAGAGTAGATTTTTCAGAGTAGACTTCTTCCCTGTCTTACAAAGATACCCAAAGCCAAATAGGTGAACCAAGGCTCAAATTATGTTAAAAGCTGAAAATGATAATAATATATGCTTTCCAGGAATTTATGGTTCAGTAGGGAAGACCTTAGAAAAACACAAAAGCACTTTTATTTTTCTATTAAGTTTATTGGTACATTTTAGGTATATAATACAGTTACATTCATCACTGGGAACTTGTACCTTTACATACTGTATCTTGGTTCTTATTTTTTCCCCAATCCCCCGACCTCCCTTCAACCCCCTCCACACTTCCCTGTTTACAAGGACTTTGTTTCCATTCTTTCCTTCTCATATTTTTTCGTTTTCCTTCTTTCTTTTCCTCTACCCCCCCACTTCCCTTACTCCTTTAGCTCTTTTCTTCCTATTTTACATTATTATTCATTTTAATCCTTATTTACACTTTCGATTTTTCATACCAGAGAAACCATTCAGTATTTACACATTTGTCCTATTTATTTCACTTATGAGTAAGGCCTCAATGTGCATCCATTTAGCTATAAATGTTTTTAGTTCTTGTTCATTATGGCTGAGTACTACTCCATTTTATTTTTCAAAACAAAGCAAAACAAAAAAAAAAACCTTTGGGCCGGAGATTTAGCTCAGTGCTTCACAAGCACAAGGTCCCCAGTTTGATCCCCAGTACCAAAAAAAAAAAAAAAAAAAAAAAAAAAAAAAAGACTTTATCCAGAACGGATGGGTAATTGGGCTGGTTCCAAATTTTAGCTATTAGAAACTGTGCTGCTATAAACATGGGTGCACATACATCTCTGTGATATGATTCACTTTTAATTCTTTTGGGAAGATACCCAGCAGAGGAATAGCTGGGTCAAATGGGACCTCTAATCCTAGTTTTTTGAGATATCTCCTGATAGATTTTCACAGTGATTGCATCAGTCTGCACTCCCATCAACAATGAAGAAGGATTCTTTTCTCCCTACAACCCACTAGGGTTTGTTATTGGTTGATTTGTTGATAACAGCATTCTTCCTGGGGTGAGGTGGAATCTGTGTTGTTTTCATCTGCACCTCTCAAATGACCAGTAATGTTGAACATTTTTTCGTATGTTTATTTGCTGCTACAAAAGCACTTTTAAACATTCACTAACCTGAAGTATTTACAATTCTCAGGAGATTTATAAGTAAAGAAGGGAAAAAATGTGGAAAAAGAAGAATTTGAGCTAGTCTTAAAGTAAGACAAAGAATGCCAGGTAAAGAGAAGGGAGAGAAAAGAAACTAAAGAGCATGCTTGAGAAAAACATGCAAAGGCACAGAAATAATAGGTACAACTGCAAATAATATTATTTGACTAGAGCAGGAGTGTGATCTAATATAGCTACATTTGTAGTCCTGTGGTATTAGATCTGTGCAGCAAATAACTTCTCCTGCATGCCAACACCAGGTTTCCTCTGGTTTTGGTAATTGGATAGATGATAACAATGTTTCCTGATTAAGGGAATTTTGTAAGAGAAGCAACTAACTTGCAGAAGGATGGCAATAAGTTCTGTTATGGGCATATGGAGTGTGAAAAGTCTCTGGGATATTCATATAGTAAGATAATAGGACTAAGAAACGCGGAGGAGATGAAGATTTTAAAGTTACCACTATATTTGAGGGAAGGGGAAGAATGTTAAAAAAAAAAACCCATCAAAATAAAGGTCTAAGAAGTTGGAAGAGAAAACTAAGGTGAATAAATGTAAAGAAAGGGGTTACACTCTAAAAGTAGATGGAAAACAAATATTTCTATCTCTAGTATCTAGCAATCAATCCCTTTCTGACCTCCTCTAAATTTACATGTTTGTGGAGCATAAATTATGACAACCCTGCATCCTGTCTACACCTTCGTGAATATTTCCTCTATCAAACTCTCTCCAAATTACCCTAGTTTGAATGTGTAATTGATTCCTGCTTCAACCCCTAAAAAGAGGCCAGAATTTATCTCATGATTGGCATACAGAAACAAGAACTGTAAGAGAGATAAATGATTAAATTTGGTTTTCAGAATGATCACTGATGATATGAAAGAGATCGAACAGTTGTAATACTAGAAAAAAACAATAAATCTGAAGAAGAAAAAGGCTTAAAAAGCATTGATGGAATGAGAAACAGAAGTGTTAAAGATCTTGATGGGAAAAAGAATTATAGGACTTGGTAATTCTGTTTGGGTGTTAAGATTGCTAAGAGAAAAGCTAAGAATGACTAAGTTTATGACTTGGGTGACATAAGAGGATTCATCAATCATGGTTGATAGTAAAGAGCTAAGTATTTGGGAGAGGATAACAAGTTCACTTTTGGATATTTAGAAGTTTTTGGAAGATATCTAAAGATTTATGTTCAGTAAATAGGTGTAAAGACCTAGAGCCACACTGTGTGAGAGAACTTTCTGTGAGGAAAGAAAGGTACATCTGTCCTTTCCAATGTGGTAACCAGTAGCCAAAAGTGGCTTTGATCATTTGAAATGTGTAGTATGACTGAGGAACTATCAATTTTATTCCATTTTTATTTAATCAAAGAGCTCTAGCAGGTAGTAGCTACTGTATTGAACACTGTAGGTATAGTGCTAAGAATGATTTTTGCACTTTTAAAGGTCTGAAAAACCAAAAGAATAATTTGTGGCATGTGAAAATTATATGAAATTCAGAGTTTAGTATCTTACAA